TCATGTGAAAGTAGGCAGTTTTCTGTTTTAACAACACCTTATCTTGTGCATCTCTATTATTACACCAAGTATGTATATATTCCCAGCATGAAGATTTGTGATACAAACAAGTTTGTTATTTTATATGCAATTATGTATCATGTATATAATAATTATTTTGCAAATTTGTAGTGATGTGTACCATACTTATCGGATACAAATTTTTCTGAAGTACTACCTATATTGAACACAAAATTAAAAGCGAAAATAAACAATTTTAAACTTAAGAACTCTTCAAATTTAGAAGTATTATGTTAAAAGGGTAATAAATACTCCAAAACACTAATTACTGTATCTTAAAAAACAAATAAACATCAACACCTGTCTGTGAACAGGAACATGGAAAACTAGTCTACATTAACAAGTTCATTTTCTGCGGCTGGAGTTAAGTCACACTTCAGCCTTATAGGGTCATCATTATCGCTAACATATCCCGCCTTAGCCTTGTTGAGACCATACTTCCATAACAGTGTTGCGTATCTTTTGCAAAGATATTCACCTCGAAAACCATTATATGAATGTTGATTTTGTCGCTCAAGAATTCAGCAAATACAGCTAAGAACATTCCGCACTCACTACAAAAAATAAGAAGATTAATTATAAAAATGAATTAGATACAAAAATTAAAGAAAGAGTGATACAATACTAGCAGGCTATCACATTTGGGATCTGACCTTGGTAGTTGCATTTGAGAATATTCAAATATGGATCAAATATAGTATCCTTGAATAATTGAATACCTTCATCCCCTATTGACAACACTAAGTCTTGAATGAAATTTATATTGTGAGTAGGGCAAAACTTAAGGGAGTGTTTTGGAATCTGTTTAATTATATAATTTATATTCTGCAATTCAAAAAAATGATGTTGATCACTAAAAAAGGATCCAGATGATACATACAAATCTGAATGAGAATGATTTTGAACTAAAATATGAATAAAAATATAAACTTGTATCTGATACATAATTCTAACTACACATTATCTTTCACTCAAATTGATACTTAATAGTAACAAAAACTTTGAAGATGATACATTATGTTGTTCTACAACTTACACAGGGCCGGCTCTTGCCTATAATATTTTAGGCATTGGCCTTAGGCCCCCAATTTTTGGGGGCCTCAATTTTTTATAAATAAAAAATTATGTTTCTTAACCCTATTCAAATAGAAGAAATTAAGAAAACATTATTTTGGATTCTTACATTTTCTTCGTTAACACTCACATTATTTATTCTTTGTAACTCTTTTTGCACTCTATTTCTTCAAATCTTTGATAGTTAGAGTAATACACTCTCAAAAATATGAATCAATAGTCGAAAAGTGTTGAACAAAGTGCATTACAAATTCTTTTTTTTAATTTATTTGTTAATTTTCATATTAAAGTAGGTATACCAAGTTATCAACTTTTTGAATCAGATTCTATGATTCTAACTCTTATCTTTAAAGTTTATCAACTTATTACTTATAAAATTGTGTTAATAATTCATATAATAATTGTCTCAATAAAAGGATGTTTTTCAATGTTGAATTGATAAAATCTTACTTAAAACTAATAATTAAAAAAAAGTGTTTGAAAAATCATTTATATAAAAGATATTAAGTAGTAATTTACATCTAGAAATTTAGAAAAATAAATAGATATAGATAAAATTTATATAGATTTTAGGCCTCTAATAAAAATTTCGCTTTAGGCCACAAATTATGTTGAGCCGCCCCTGAACTTACATGTAATCCTCTAATTTGAGCTTTAATCTTTCATAAATTTATCATAACAAAAAAATGACCAAAAATGAAATTTTATTTATAAAAATGATTAATTGATACTCAATACCAATATATTTGATAGATTAATCATAAATATCAACCATTCTATCTCATTATTTGAATTTTAACTTTTTGATACATTAGTCGTTATAAATCAACAATATGTACCAAATATTAGGATTTTTGTGTTAGAAAATTAGATTTCAACCAATATACATAATAATTTTTTTTAACAATAATGTATCTACTATAAAGCAAATAAGAACATGTGAATACAGAATATTAAAAATAAAGACAAAAAGTATTAAAATACAAACAGTGGGTAGTGCAGGTCGGGATATGGTTGGGGCAACCTTTCTATCCCTTTTCTTTGGTGTTTTTGCCACTTTTGCTTCCGATGATGCATGTACCTCCTTTTTAGTTTTCTCCTTCTTTGAACTTTGCTTAGCCATTGTTAGAGGATCATGCAACCTCTTAGACCTGTTTTCTGTCCAGTTGTAATCTTCATAATCAAAGATTCGATTAGTGTTGGGCGTGACTATTTGGGTAATCCCAATACTAAAAGAAGGAGGATTCATAAAGTATCAGAAAATCGAAGAAAAAAACTAAGAAGAAATTTGAAGAGGAAGAGACTACCTATTATAAACTCTGAAATTGGTTGAATGGAGAGAGAAATCGTCTGAAATTCAAAATTGAAAGAATGTGATAATTGAAATGAATCTGGGGAGAAAATGGGGGAGTAAATTTAGGAGTGGGAAACGTTAGTTGGGTGTTCTTGAACAATAATAAATCTGTGGAGAAATTAGAGGAGTAAATTTAGGGGTGGGAAGCGTAGGTTGGGACTTCTTCAAGAATAATGTATCCGGAGGTTTTGTTTTGTGGGAGAAATAGGGATTTTTGTATTTTTTTGAAATAGTTGGGAAATATAGAGAATATGTTAACTAAGTGTGTGTATTCTAGTAATTTATCCATAAAAGTAAACTCTCCAACATTTTAATCAGCCCAATAATCTTAAATGAACCGGTTTCATACACCCCTTCCAGCCCATAGGCCCTTATGTCGTTAGTTCTGTTCACAACATATACACCAGATAGGTTTTACCCAAATCAAAATGTGAGTCTCTATAATACTTGTACAACTGACTATGAATTATTTAGCAAAATTTAAGCATGATGTACATGTATCTTTGAGACTTGAAGAAGTCTATTACCATTGACAATCAAGGAGTAGCAATTACTGGAAATGTGTCAGTAAATCAAGTCTTTTGTCATCAGAATGCAAATATATGGTCATGATACTCTATCATACGCTTTGGCCATATATATCCAATTTGAGCACTACATTCCCTTCCTCATTCCTGGGATAATAGAATATTTTCTGTAATAGATCTTCCTTTGATGAAATCACTCTGATTTCTGCTAATCAGAGTTGGTAGAATGGATAACTTTTGAGAATGCTCTAGTTATAGGTCTCATGTCTGAAAATTGTTATGGAGAATTCCCCTTAGGGATCATGGCAATACAAGTATCACGAGCCAACCATTTAGCATGGCCTTCACAACCTCAGGTGCAATAGTAGACCAGCTAATTTGTTGTGTACCCATCAGACTATCAGGATCCATAGTGAAAAGGCTATCTTTGATCTCTTCTTGAGAAGGAAGTAGAATCAGAGGAATTATTAGTATCCTCATGCATCAATCACAATATCTATGCAGGATATATAGCTCATTGAAGTATCTAACAATAGTCTGTTGCCTTGTACCCAAGATTGAATTGATTTTCATCCATGATCTTGTTAATCCTTAATGTGAAAGTAGCTAGGTAGTATTAGAGTCTCCCTCATGTGAAAGTAGGCAGCTTTCTATTTTAACAACACTTTATCTTGTGCATCTCTATTATTACACCAAGTATGCATATTCCCAAAAAAGACAGAAACTTGGACTCAAACATGAGAGTCAAACCCAAAAGACTAGTCTGATAAGTAGGGGAACCAATTTGATTAACATATAAATCAATTAGCATTTCTCTGTTTATCTGATGAGGAACAATTGGCACATAATACATAAGTTTGCTTTCTAATTGTACAAGCCTACAACCAAGTTTGACATAAACTGATCCAAGTGAAAAATTAAAAGAATTTTTCTTTCTTTTACTAGAAATTTTACATGTATGCTTGCTCTCTAGAAGCTAACAAGACTAGAAGAAAAGAGACCTTTCTCTTGCCTTGTATACTAGTAAAAACACAAACATGCACATCTACAACAAACTTTAGATGTCAATTGTCTCAACAGGAAGTAAGCACCAGCAACTTTTTCAACAAAATCTGATAACTGTCTCAAAATTTTCAATAAATTTGATGGTAACGAGAAAAACAGAAAAAGGGCAGTTACAACGAGCCAACAAACAGCAAAACCAAAGTTTTCATCCTTGTCAACATGACAAACCAAGAACTTTTCCACCAACATTCTTTCTCCTAGCCTCTTCATGGTCCATGATTCCAGCTGAGGTAGTCAGCACAATGTACCCGAACTGCAATTTGAAACCAATACGTAAAGATCAGAACATAAAAATAGATAATATACAGAGTAAAACTGACTAACAACTAAGACTTGTACTACATCTGTGATCGCTGAAAATATCTGCAATTTCATTTGCTTGGTATCAAGTATCAACTACATATGATGCTTCAATCCACAAAGAAACACACTTCTCATGGACAGCAGATCAAGACTTTGTTAGCCAAGCCATAGGATACAAAATTTCTCCTTTGGATAGACAGGAATGCTTCCTTTACAAGAGAGCCTCAACTGCAAAGAGCGCTTGCTCCTTTGGATGGATGGGTCTTGTAAGCATTACAGATGAGTACTCAAGATTTTTACTGCTTAAGAAGAAGCAATAATTTTCAAATATCATTTTCTCCCTTTGAAACAAAACTACTTTTTTCAAATTTCACAATGAAACATTGGTTAAACGCCCATATAGCAAGCCAATTCATGATTCGGCAAAGAAGTAAGGAATCAAAAATTAGTAATGTCTATTTCACAAGCTAATATGACCATGACTTGACATTCACCCCAACAATCATTTCGGCTCAATTTGGAGATAACCGGAAATGGAGTTCCATATATTGATCAAAGTGAATATATTAATTACTATACCTGTCGGGAAGGGAGGGAGCAATCTAGCAGTCCATCCTTCAATCTCCAACATCGAAGCGAGGACTAATGACACCACACTTGTGTAGCCTTCCATTCAGTTCGACAACAATCTTTCCGGACCTATGATCATCGACATACTCAAATTCTCCGATGTAACCTACACATAGATACCAACAGTAATAAAATGATTTTGTTAGTATCCTCATCAATCACAGTACCGATGTAGGATATATAGCTTTTGAAACTTGTCTGTTGCCTTGTACCCAGAGTAGATTGATTTTGTTTTAGCTATAACAATAGCTTGTGAAAGTAGAGTCTCCTTCTCTTTCTGTTTCAGCTATAGAGTCTGGATTGTTATTAAGAACCAGCTGACTGTAGATGTCTCCATAGACCAACTAACTACTAAGCTTAGTAGATGTCCTCTTTAATCATGGAATTGAGAATGCTTAGGAACTCATCTTCACAATTACTGAACTGCACTGAAAGGAAGATATTATTGATGTTTGCATAGCTAGCATCCTTGAAGGTCAAGCTTTCTCGTGTAGCTGCTCGATCTGCCTGTACAAAAGGTTCTTGCAAACATATGAATGAAAGTAGAGAGTCTTGAGTCTTTCAAAAGCACTTTGAGTCCTAACACTCCAAGAAATGGTGTTAAATCATTCAAATGTGTATATGTCGATTGAGTGTATGCGATTCTATATCTTAAGTATTGTTGGACATAAGTTTACATATACACGACATACAAAATAAATATAGACCATCTTATCATACAATTCGTAATTTCAAATATAAGCATCAATATAATTTACAAGGGAGTGACCATTGAACTTCTATGAGGCCTACTAGGCCGCCTATACCAAATAACAACCAATGACATACAGAAAAATAAACCCAAAATTACAAACGTCATTATTACATTTAAATAATTCCTACTAGAACTTTTATTGGGGGGGAAGTTGGGAAGAAGAGGTGGTGAAGAGGGTGTGTAATTCCCTTCGTATTCTATAATGGCGGTTGTAATTTTATTCGTGTCGTGTGTCTGACTAATATTTGTTCCTGCAACCATATAATAATAATCTGGCTGCTGGTTCGCCTCGAAGATACAATCCACCGATTGTTGTATACTCAATTCGACGTAGTCCGTTGAAAATGGCTTTGTTATAGGACTTCCATCCATCGCGACTACGGTTAAGTTGTGCCTTGCAATCCCAAAGAAAAGTGTTTTACTCATTGCAGCGTTCACAACTCTGAGAAGATATGTCTTCCCAGTATTCACTACTATCCTAAACGTTCCTGTACATTTTAATTAATAAAGGAAAATTAATATGAGTGCAACAAACAACTCGAAAAAAATAATACGTAAAATCTTGCTGTCCTAGGGAGCAGTACTGCATATATATATAGGCAAGAATCGCAAAATATTATATTGTTAGAAATCAAACAGGAACCAATTTAATTAACTTATAAATCAATTAGCATTTCTCTGTTTATCTGATGAGGAACAATTGGCACATAATACATAATTTTCCTTTCTAATTGTACAAATTAAAAGAATTTTTCTTTTTTGAATTTCAATACAATTACAACCTAGTACAGCTAATTAATGCATCTTTCTTTTATCAAATTCTCAAGGCCCCACCCACCATTACTTGGAAAAAGTCGTGTCTTTTCCTTGGCTACTATTAGGAAATTAAAAGTCTAATTAATTAGCCCAGGTCGAAGACGGAGATTTTGATTTTTAATTATTCATTAAGTTCGATATAAATAAACAGAACTGAACGACTTGTAAGTACCATTGTTTGAACAAGGGTAGAAGTCACCAGGCTGTCCATTAACAGTGAAAGCGTCTGAATTTACGCCACTGCCTGAGTCAATATAGTCAAGGACAACCTCCTTGACATCCCTTTTCCACCATTCACCTGTGAAGAATTAATCAAATAAAAAGAAAATATATGTTAGTAAAAGACTTAAGAATTTGAAGAAAAAATAAAAAATTACTAGAACTTAATTTTTACGTACCTAAAATGATGGGAATATCACGAGTAGTTCCGGGTTTTGAATGGACAATGAAAGCACCATGAACTGTGGCGCTTTGCCAGATGTTCATGGCGTGCCACCATAGCGTCCCTTCCTTGTCAAATATTGTGATGTTTTTTCTTAGTTTAAACCCTGGCTCAATTAGCCAGTTCACTTGATCAGACTTCAAGTGTTTTCCCTCACGCTTACAACTACAAAGAAAGAAAAAAAACGATCAGTAACAACTTAAACAAACAAACAAAAACAATGAAAAAGTAGAATGTACCAAAATATTGTAACGTTGTCCTTCCCTCTGTTTTCAACGTCTAGGGCCAACGTTTCTCCAGCGCGCGCGTATATGGTAGGCCCTGGGAATCGTCCGTTGATAGTTAGAATCTTCTTCGATTGGCAAAGCCTATCGAAAGAAGTTTCTTCAATCTGTTGATAGTACAAGATAAAATTGATTAGTACACAAATCACACGAGAATTTTAATGTTGCAAAAAAAGCTAGTCAATGAACAGACAATACTTACAACAAAATGAAAAATAGTACTCCTATTATTTTGTGTTGAAGCGGTGTACTGAACCGCGAAAAATATGACAAGTACCAAGCTAGTGTTGGCTTTCATGGCCTGTTTTTGGAATGCCATTTTTCTTGTCTAAAGAGTTATAGGAGTCGAAATTTTTGAGAAAAAGATGAAGAAGGGCCTTATCTTTTGAAGAATGGAATTATCCTGGAGTCAATTTAGAATCTTTATACTAGATTAAAAGAAAGAAGAAGTTGTCTCACACATTTCACTAAGAAATGAAGAGGAGAAATATTTATAGAGGAGAAAGGGGAATAGAGCTACATCTATTCATATGCAGAAAATTTTAGTTCTTCTCAATTTGGATAGAAGTCAAATAAACGGGTTAACTAGATTGAATTTGAGTAGGTTATTAAAAATTAGACGCAAAGGTCATAAGTGTAAAATCATTTTGAGCTTCCTATAATACTTATTAGTTATAAACTTACAGCTTACATTTTTCTATATATGGTTTTAAAAGTTTTAAAAAAAAAAAAAATTCTTGTTGTGTTCATATCTATCTTTGTTTATTATGTTTCATTGATCAAATATGAAAAAAATATAGAAACAGAAAAGTTCTCTTATTTAGATAAATTTACTAGTTTTGCATAAAAGATTGATAATGTTTGAATAATATGTCACTACATAACTAGATAAAATTAACTGAGAGCAATAACTATAAAAAAATAAATGATAATGGATATCTGAAATATAACTAATTTAAGATATTTATCACATTATGTAAGACAGATATCACTTTTTAGGAAAAAGAAGAGACATAAAATAAAAATTAAATTCAATAAATTTCCCCTCGTATGATAACAAACAATTATACTTATTGCTATCACTATACACCCATAAGTAGGAAAAAGCAAAAAAAAAAAATAAGAACCAAATAAGTAATTTAATACTTTAAAATTAAAAGTTAAAACATTCAAAAATATACAAAAAGTATAAATTATAAATTGTCGTGTCAATATGACCTATTGCTAATATAAGTAGCCTATGTTACATATTTAATTCAAGAAGCAAAATTATTTACTCATAAAAAACTGAATTTTCTCTTCAAAAAAAATTCCTTTCATGTAAATGAAGTTTGGATTAATTATGGATAAATATGCAGTGGTCCCAACCTTTTTATTTGTTTTGTACTACTTTTTATTCTCTTATTCCTTAATCTTTCTTACAGATTACTATTATTATTTGAAAATTTTTATTTTTCCATAAAAAAAAACTAGTATAAATTATGATTTCTAATACTCCTTTTATCCGAATTTATGTAACAATTTTTGTTTTTCGGAAGATAATTTGACTAATTTTTAAAGTTGAATTAATATTTTTAAATTAAAATTTATCTACAAAAAAACTATATGATAAGTATTAGCAACTGTAATTTTTCTTATGTCAATATGATGAAAAATATATATTACAATATTTGTATATAGCTCACATAATTTGAATTTTAAGAAGCGAAAAGTGTCACGTAAACATAAATTAGAACAAAAAAATACTAATTTTTGAATATGTTACTTTTAATGGTCTATTAGTACTATTAACTATGGGAGACAGAGTAATTGAAGGATACCAGCTGAGGTAGTCAGCACAGTGTACCCAAACAGCAAGTTGAAGTCAATACGTAAATATCAAAACATAAAAATAGATAATATGCAGAGTAAAACTGACAACTAAAGACTCATAGAAACAGAAAAAAATTCTTATTTAGATAAATTTACTAGTTTTGCATAGGAGATTGGTAATATTTGAATAATACGTCAGCTACATAACTAGATAAAATTAATTGAGAGCAATAACTATAAAAAATAAATAATAGTGGATAGCTGAAATATAACTAATTTTAGATATTTATCACATTATGTAAGACCATTAAGGTATAGCTTTGTAGGGAAAAAAAGAGACATAAAATAAAAATTAAATTCAATAAAATTTCCCCTCGTATGAAAACAAACAATTATACTTTATTTCTATCACTATCATATTGATTACACCCATAAGTAGGAAAAAGCAAAAATAAAAAAATAAGAACCAAATAAATAATAGTACTTTAAAATTAAAAGTTAGACATTAAAAAATATACAGAAAGTAGTATAAATTATAAATTGTCGTGTCAATATGAGCTATTTTGCTAATATAAGTAGCCTATGTTACATATTTAATTCAAGAAGCAAAATTATTTACTCATAAAAAACTGAATTTTCTCTTCAAAAATTTCCCTTTTTACTCTCTTATTCCTTTCATGTAAATGAAGTTTAGATTAATTATGGATAAATATGCAGTGGTCCCAACCTTTTTATTTGTTTTGTACTTTTTACTCTCTTTTTCCTTAATCTTTCTTACAGATTATTATTATTATTTGAAATTTTTTATTTTTCCATTAAAAAAACTAGTATAAATTATGATTTCTAATACTCCTTTTATCCAAATTTATGTAATAATTTTTATTTTTTGGAAGATAATTTGACTAATTTTTAAAGTTGCATTAAATTTGATCAATTCAATATTTTAAAATTAAAATTTATCTAAAAAAAACTATATGATAAGTATTAGCAACTGTAATTTTTCTTATGTCAATATATGATGAAAAATATATATTAAAATATTTGTACATAACTCACATAGTCTGAATTTTAATAAGTGAAAAGTGTCACGTAAACATAAATTAGGGCAAAGAGAATACTAATTTTTGAAAATGTTACTTTTAATGGTCTATTAGTACTATTAATAACTATGGGAGACAGACTAATAAGTAAACATCAAAACATAAAAATAGATAATATACAGAGTAAAACTGACAACTAAGACTCATAGAAACAGAAAAATTCTCTTATTTAGATACATTTACTAGTTTTGCATACCCCAGACCCCACCTAGTGGGATTTCACTGGGTATGTTGTTGTTACTAGTTTTGCATAGAAGATTGGTAATGTTTGAATAATACGTCAGCTACATAACTAGATAAAATTAATTGAAAGAAATAACTACACAAAATATATAATAGTGGATAAATGAAATATAACTAATTTTAGATATTTATCACATTATGTAAGACCATTAAAGTATAACTCTTAGGGAAAAGAAAGAGACATAAAATAAAAATTAAATTGAATAAAATTTCCCAAACAATTATACTTTATTGTTATCTATCACTATCATATTGATTACACATATAAGTAGGAAAAAGCAAAAATTAAAAAATAAGAACCAAATAAGTAATACTTTAAAATTAAAAGTTAGACATTTAAAAACTATAAAAAAAAAAATAGTATAAATTATAAATTGTCATGAAATACGAGCTATTGCTAATATAAGCAGCCTATGTTACATATTTAATTCAAGAAGCAAAATTAATTCCCAGATTTGGTGGGCCTCTTGGCCCATTTTTGCCTGGACCTGTTGTGCAAAAGATGGGCTTTGGCCCGTTTCCGCCCCTGAAAATCTGCATATACAATGAGTGTATACTCATGTATATATACTATATTTTAGCCTGTTTTATGTATATCGGACTGTACACAGACTGTATGCAGCCAGCCTAATTCAGCTTCTAAGCACCTGTTTTAATTTTTTTGACCTGTATACAGTCCATTTTCGGACTTCCCGAAACTTGTGATCAATTTCCAGACCTCCCTAGGCCTATTCCGATGACCTGGCTGACTCAATGATAAAGAAGATTTGAGCCTCTATGGCCAACTTGAGAATGAAAGAGAGAAGTCCACCATGGACTCGGAAGGGGTTCGTACGACAAAGAAAGGAGCTATGTGAAATAAATAAGCAATTAGGACATAACTTAATTAGAATGAAAGTAACATAAATATTTTTGAGCTAAAAAAGTGAACCAAGTCACTATTAGACCAAATTGAGACCCAAATGTCATAAATTTCAATACAAGATAGGAGGCTATAAAACTAATGAGAAATGATACACAAGGAAATTCCGCTTGTGTACATATAAAAGCTATAAGCAATAACTAACACAACCCAAAAATACATAAAGAAACATGTTGCACATTTGACTAACATCATCTTACCTACCAATATTTAGAAAGGACAGTTATTGGGACGAACACAGCACTAAAACTTGATCTGGCATACAAATTATTTTGAAGTGATGGATCAACCATTAAGAACTAGCTAGGGTGGATCATTATGTTGGTTATGAAAGATGTTAGTCACTTTAGATTTACAGGTAAAGCGATGTAGCTTCATAAAGTGCATGTGTTATATTTCAGAATAGATGAGAGAATGTATATAAAGGATCATATTGTAACTTAACGTACATTGTTCTTTTCGTCCTACAAGTGTTTTCTTTAATTTTCCGATTCTATATTTAATTTGTAGTCTTGAAAGCTTCTCAGATAATGGTGCTATTTCCGAATTGTCAACTTGAGTTTCTTGGTTTTCTCTCCTCCTTAACCTCACACAACTATACATTGCTGCTATTTCCACTCTCTGGCTTCTAATTGATTCTCCTGTACGTGGATTAATATGTATTTATGTTGAACATGATCATTGCAGAGAATGCATAAACAAATTGAATTGCTAATTATAAAAGTTGGAGTCTTCTTGAGAATTACGAGGCAGTTGAACGGGATGGGATGCGTTAGTTAGTTCATAGGCTTAGTGAAGAAATTGTTCACCTGCTAGACATAAGCTATTCACAAATCACAATTATGCCTGTTTGAGTCTCAAGTGTTCAACTTTGTCTGTTTTTTGAACTTTTACTTTATGTTACAATACAAGGTTTCTCAAATATGTAATAGTATATATATTTTGGAACATACATTGCAGGTTTGTTTTTTCACAAGAGCGAGAATTCAGTTATTTCATCCTCAAAAGTTCTTCATCACTGAACTACAAAGGGCATTTACTTTTGAAGATCTGTTTACTTTCTCAACTTATAGTTATGATACTTGGGATACCTCTAATTAATTTGTATACGTTGCTACGATTCAATCAATAGAAAAATTGTAACTCTTTTTATTACAAATTTTATCCAAGTTGAATAAAATTAATCCCTTCTAGTCATATAATAAATGACACTAGATTTATCTATGGGGATTTTAAAGCTAC